ACTCTTTATTTCAATGCCGCTTATAGCTCACTAATCCTTTTTTTTTTTCTCTACTCACCACCTCCTCCTGTTCATTTTTTAAAGTCAAGTTATAACCAAATCTTGGTATGAAAAGATTTGGTTATAAGCCTATTAAAAAAACTGGTTGTAAGAACTGATTTTAAAACAATCTCAAAGTTACTTCATATTTCCCATAAACCTAAAACTAAATTCTGCACAGTTAGTGCAGGGTGAGTATCCCTTTTCCAAAGTGCTTGGCACCAGAAGTATTCCAGATTTTTGTTTTGTTTTGTTTAGTACCTGGAATTGAACTCGGGTCCTTGCCTTTGCAAGGCAGGCAGCGGAACCACTGAGCTAAATCCCCAGCCCCCTTTTCCAGAGTTTTTGCCACCACTGGAACCCATCCTTTCTTGCTAGTGAGCATGAGCTATCTTGGGGATAGAGTCCAAGTATAAATATGAAATTTATTTGTTTCATATACCACATTCTGCAGGTAATTTTATACAGTATTGTTAATAACTATGTGCATGAAACACTTAGCATAAAATTTACCATTTGTAGTACCTTATCACTGCTCAAAAAGTTTCAGATTCTCAGGTTAGGGATCCCCAACCTGTAGTCAGATCACTAGATCTAGCTTTCAAACAATGGAAAAGATTTAAAGAAGGAGACTCAGAGAGGCAATATTCACACCTGACAAGCAGAGTAAATGGAGGTAAAAATGATCTTCTGTATGTTTGAGTAACAACAGAAAACTGGCTTAAAAAAAAACACTCTAAAGACTAAGGACACAAAACTGGGATAAACTGAACATGTCTACATTATAGAGATGTCTGAAAGTCCAGCATAGACTCCAAAATTTTTATTAACTGTTTCGAGCATCTTAATTTATGTACACCTTTTAGCAAAGACAGCATAGATAGGACAACTCATTAATTTTCTTTAGAATTTCATTTGGTAATTAAAATAACAGATAGCATAGAGCCAGCAGCCCCATGCTGGCAAAGACACACAACCTCTGCTGTCTTAGAGTCTAAGCGATGCATCAGGAGTCCTGAACAAAACAGCGCATACCACCTCCTCTCGAGTAAGTTGTAGCAAGAGGGGACACTTGGCAGAAGAGTGAGTTGTCATTTCTCTAAAAAACCAAATTTAGGGCCAGGGATTTAGCTCAGTGGTTCCACTGCCTGCCTTGCAAATGCAAGGACCCGAGTTTAATTCCCGGTACCAAAAACAACCAAAAAACCCCAAATTTAAGTAAAAGGCTGTCCTGAAAGTGAGCAAAAAAACCTAATTAAATAAATACAATGTGCCAATTCACAGGAAAGCTGAGAGTAAAAGATGTCATTTTAGAGCCAGGGTACAGAAAACCAGAATTAAAGATCCATCTGCAGGTAGGCAGAAGAAGTCACTCAGTAAAGAAAGAATCAAAAGATGCTAACTGAACTACAACAATGTGCAAGGAACATCAAGCCCAGTCTTTCGAGCTGCCTTAGTTCCCACTGCTTTCCAATCCAAGTGTTTACAGCAAATCCTTCTTTCTCCTGAGGTAATCTGAATCTCTGCTCTCCACAACTTGAGTCCAACATAAGTCGACCATCAGAATCACTTCCAAGCGTTTTTCTCTTTGGGTATATTCTGATTACTCAGCATCACCTTCTAAAGTGGATATAAGCCTCCCTTTCCTGTGACAGAGAATCCAGGTTTATACAAAGCTGCTAACACACAACCAGCACCCACCCCCCTCCAAATACATATTCACACCCCCTTTTGTCAGCTGGCTCTTAGGCACCCCCACTTTCTCACACTAGCCCATGCACTCTTTCAAGCTTACACTTTCCTACACACTTTCACACTCTCTCCTACACTCACCCACACAAACAGGAGGGATGACTCTGAAACCCATGCCAACTGTCTTAGTTACTTTCTTGTCACTGAGACACAATACCCGACATCCACAACTTAAAGGAGGAAAGGTTTATTTTGGCTCACCGTTTTAGAGGTTTCAGTCCACAGTACAAGACATGCTGGCAGGAAGCAGAGAGATCAAGGGATAGGGAGAGAGATACTCTTCCAGGCCACACCCCAGTGACCCATCTCCTCCAGCCAGGCTTCATCTCCCAAACAACACTTAGCTACAAACTCATCAGGGACCAATCCATTGACGAGTACCACCCTCCCATGATCTAATCAATTCCCCTAACCCCCATTTATGAGCACATGAGGCTTTGGGGGAACATCTAGCTATAAACCATTATGGCAAGCAATCTAAATATTCACTCCATTGGCTTTAATGGTTTCTTAAACATTGTGTACTCAGATAAGCCAGCAAGTCTTCCTCATGGCTGTCATATAACAGTATTAGTGGTCAAACGGCCAGCGCTACAGAGTAACACAGAAAGAAGCACAGTCCTAAAGACAAAGCCATTCTTTGTACTGAACTTCAGAGTTCAAATTCTGAAAGAGTCCAAATACATTCTTTCAGAAACCTAAGTCAGAGACTTAGGGAAAACCAAGTGTTATAGCTTTTACCTAGATGTCCCCCACAAAGCCCCATGCAGTCAAAGGTGGGGCTTTTCTGAAGTAGCTGGATCTAGGGTTTGTACTGCTGGGATCAAAGACATGACGCTGGGATTGATTTAAGGTGTGATGCTAGGTTTAAGGGTGTGAGAGCCTGGGGAAGATGGAAGGGACAGGAAGAGCTGTAGTCTTGTCTCTTGACACTAGTCGCCTGCTTGCTTTGGTACCTTCTGCCTGCCATGAACTGTTTTTCCTCTGTGGTGCACCTTTGTCATGCCATCCTGCCTTAGAGCTAGCCGACTATGGACTCTACAAAATGTGAGCGAAAATAAACCTTTCCTCCTTTAAACTTTGAGTGTCAGGTATTTTGTCTCAGCAACAAAAAAAGTAAATAGGACACCAAGGAACTCCTCATACCTCTACCTATCTATAGCAGCACAGTAGTGTGAACAACCAGAGACTTCTGGTAATTTTCCTTCCTAATCTTATAAACATAAAATAATCAATAGCTAATTAAGGATCCAAAATTTAAAAATTAACCTGTATTTTCACTGTAACTGCCTCTTCTATCCTTCCCAAGATCCCTTGGAAATGGCCAAAAAAAAAAGGAAACATACTAGGTCACTCTTCCATTTTAAAAGTTAACAACACATTTTCCCAGCAAAATGAAATTTTCTGATATGTGACAAACACACACTCAAACATTCAATAGCACTTCTGGTAATTAAATTTATGTCTGCTTTATTTACTGTCTGTCTCTTTCCACTAGATACTATGAAAGCAGAAACTGGACTGGTTTTGTTTACAGCACCTGGCATATGGCAGGTGTGCTACAATAACTTCTAAAAGAATGAAAGTAAGGCACCTGTTCATGCCTTATTCTATAATCTTTACCATGTTTTACTTAGTCCTCATTAGTTATAAAGCACTGTACTAGGTACGAAGGAGGTACAAAGATTAGATGTGAGCTCAGTCTCAAACAACATGGTTGGCCTGTTTGACCAAAGACCTTTTCTGATTTCTGGTGAAAATATGGGTACTGTACACCCAGAAAAAAACTGTAAACAAGTATAGAAGATTTTCCATTACATTTCAAGGGATACCTAAGAATTTTAGACTTAGTGGCATAAATAAGACAGTAAACATTTTAAAAAGATTGTGTTCTCTCTCATTTTTTTTTTTCCTAAGACAGTGTTCTACTGCACAGTTCAGGCTGGCCTCAAACTCAAAATCCTCCTCCCTTAACTTACTGGATGCTAGAATTATTTGTGATCTTTTATCCCTCTTAGGTTTTTATACCCTAAGAGCAAACTTTTGAGAGGTGATAAAGATACAAGTAAATGAAATCAAAATGTCTTCCAATACTTTCAGAAAATAGTTATAAATTAGAAACCTTTACATAAAAAGACCATTAAAAAATATCAACATGTGTGGCATGAACGCATGAACCACTGCAGATAAATACAAAAGTTTTCAATCCATGAAGCATAAATGCGATAGGAAATTTCTTATTATGAATAGGGAAAAAGAGAAATAATACTGGTAGAATCCAAAAATAGTCATGAAAAAAGGCACCAAATTACCTCTGAGCTTTTAATTTTTTTTCAAATCTAGCATCTTAAGGTTATCATATTGATTTAAATGTTACATGATAATTTTGACTAGTGATCACTGAACTTATAAAAGTGTAAGTAGTAATTAACGTACACAGAGGTGTGAGGCAATATAAGCTATATTCTGAAATTCTGCAAAGGTTTTCTCCTTGGGTCAAAGGTTTCAGCCAAATCCCCATTCTCTCAGCACTTTACAGCCTAAGAGAAAATAACACCTCACAAGAGTTAACTTTGCCAGATGAACCTACCAAGTGCCATTACACAATAAATGCATCTTTCCAAGTGTAATTTGAAAAAATGCCTCTAAAATTTCAAGTGAATAGGAATCCTAAATGTTTAACCCACTGAATTTCACTTTCTACTTCTCTAAAAGCAATCAATTAGATTTCAGTTGCGACTGAGGAAACCTTTCCGACTTGTGGACAAAGATACAAAGACAAAGGCTATAAATTTATCTAAGAAGTATCTTTTCTCTTTTTTTTGTTGCAGTGCTGAAGACTGAACTGAGGGGCTTGTGCTCCGCAGCACACACACTAAAATTGAACTGAAGGGCTTACATAAGTTACACAAGTGCTCTACCCCTGAAACTCAGCCTGGAAATGTTTTATATGGAAAATAAAAACCAGAAAATACCAAACTGAAGTTGGTGCCCAAAAAAGAACAATTATCCAATGCCAGGGTTAGAACCAACCTCAGAACTTATTCCAGTCACTGCTCTCTTTCACGTAAGCAAGTCAAGTCATGGCAAAAGTATTCTCAATAAATTAAGAATAAAGTTCAAATTTGATATAAACCAAATATAATACCAGTGTAATAACAGTGCATTTTATAACATGAAAATTAAACACAATTAATATAAGTACTTACATTAAGAAGTAACTCATCTTTTGTTTTAAGAGGAAAACTCTTGCTTTCCTTCTCAACTTGTAAATCTTCTTCTCCATCAGACAGCACGGGAGGAAGTGATACACAAGAGGAAGAAGATGAGGAGGAGGAAGATGATGAGGAAGAAGAGGAGCTTGAACTATCTGAATCTGTTTCACTGTAGGGAAGAAAACAGTTGAAAACTTGGTCAAATATTACAATGGCATTGTATTATTCAGTTAGGAAATACGTACTTAACCTTGCTTACTATTGCTGGTCTAATTAAAAGGGGAGGATTTCAAAGGTTACTGTAACATCGGGGAAGTAGTGTTTGGTTCATCAATAGCATTTTCAAAATTCCTAACCCTCTTATGCACAATGTCATATGTCTGAGTATAATAAGCAAATGTCAATCACTTGCTTATGACTGAAGGAAAACTGCCAACAGTTTCTTCCCCGTTTTGAAGCAACTTGGGAATGCTTCCATTACCAAATATGTTGATCACTTTTTGGCCTTTGACTTCCCACAGAAATTGTAATTTGCTCCCCCACTGTAGCCCATTTAATGTTAATTGTGTTTTGCTTTGTTTTGGTGCAGTACTGGGGATTGAATCCAGGGCCTCATGCTTGCTAATCAAGTACTCTGCCACTGAGCTACATTCCCAATCCTATTTTTAAAAAATTTCTGACAGGGTCTCACTGAGTTGCCCTGCCTGGCCTTAAACTTGTGATTCCCCTACTTCAGCCTCTCCCACTAGAATAAGAGACATGAGACTTCACCTCTGCTCTGTGCTATATTTATGGGTACTATCCATAGTCACTTTCTCTCCTCTCTGAGTAACTTTATCCACTCCAATGAGTTCAATCATCATCCATGTGCACATTAATTCATCAATCTTCCGCCCTGACAGCTAATCTCCAACCATAATTTCTGGCTGCATAATAATTAATCTGTATGAATGACATACACAAACCTCACACTTCCTTCAAGTTAAGGACAAAACAGAAAAAAGGTACATTCTCTGCACTGCTTCACTCCTCCTTCACCTTCTATTTTATTTTCACTGCTTAGTTTTCAAGCCAGTCACTGTGGTTAAACCTGGGAATCACATTAAGACAACTGCATACTCAGGTCCATAATAAATCTCTTCTGATTGGTAATTAGCCCTATTTCTCATCTCCTTTTCACTGCTATTTCAGGCCCTCATCTGTTATCTGCTTTGTAATTCTAATTGTATAACCAATATTGTAAGAGTTTCACCCCAGGATAATCACTCTTCCTCCCACTGCTGTTACTTTAACCTTCTCATGACCTCCCATGCTAATCAGTTTAAGAGAGAAATTTTATTTCACATGTTATGATTAATAGCATTGTGATTATGTAAGATAATGTCCTCTGCGAGAATGCATGCTGAAGTATTTAAAGATAAGGCGCCAGATGTCTGTAAATGACTAAAAGGTTCAATATCAAATGAATACTTTCAAAAAATTAAAAACTGTTAAAGGTTATTGCTATACGGTCTGCATTATTCTTTCCACTGTATTTAGAAATATTTAAGCATACAGAAAAGCTTACAACTTTTTTTCCATAAAAGACACCTTAGAGCCCTTGTGAGCAGGTTCCTGGTAACCTCCACAATCTCATCTACCATTTCTCACACAGAGGCTATATCCAGCATATAAGCCTATATGATTTCCCAATTCCCCTTGTATTTTCACTGCCACGTGCCATTGTTTGTGCTATTTTCTTTGCCTGAAATGTCAACCTAGAAATATTCTGTTCTTCTTTGTAAGTTCAAATCAAATGTTACCTTCTTTGAAATAGATTCCTTCCTTTGCTCCCACAGCCCTCTTTTCAAACTGTTACTAGAGTCTCTCTGGTACTATAACATAATTTCTTGAAAACCATGCTGAGTTACCAAGAACCTAAAACCAGAGACCCTGTATAGGTACCAAAACGTTGCCTAGCTAAAATATGCAAAAAGCTGTATCCCTTTTCACTTTCTCAAATATTTGGCACCTTCTTCCATCATCTACAGAGTCCTACACTAAATTGTTCTATTTTGACAACACATCCCAATGTCTGCCTTCAAACCACTGTCGGACCATCTAACACTTCACTTTCCCAGTAACGTGGACACAGAAATCCAACAAGATGATCTTATGACTGCCAAGAAATCAAACCTTGTTTATAGTTTGCTTACTTCCCCTGCCCAGTCTATTCAGATTCTCTTCCTCTACTCAAATCCTTTTTCCTCCATTCCCAGATTGATTTACCCAAAAACTCCTTACATCCTCACTAATGTGTCTATCTTGTTCACCTGGTCAGTAACCTCCCCCAACGTACTTGAATATTTGTACAAAATGTTCAGTGTGGTTTTGTAACAGCCCATATGTTGCAGTCTTATCCCACCCTAAGAAGGCACAGGCGGAGGGGTGGTTATAAAAAATAATCCCTTTCCTGATCCTTAACTTATTCCGTTCAAAAAAACAAGGCTACATGCTAGACTTGACGGGAAGAAGGTAATTCAGACGACACAGAACTCTAAAGTTACAACCACAGAGATATACCAAACAGTACTCATGAAAATAACCTAATAACTTCAGCCTTCCTATATTTTAACTAAAAATTATATTAACTACATATAGAACCTTTCAGGCTACCAAATCTAGGAAAGAAGTGAGATTCGATAGTCCTAAATCCAGATTCACAACGTGCTTCCCAGCGAACGGCGGAGAGGAATAGGCGGTCCGAGCTGCGCGTCTACACGTGCGCCTAAGCATCAGCTGCCTCCCCACCCCCCGCCCCCAATCCACACCGCACCCTCTGGGCTCCTAGCCCGGAGTCCCATCCTTGCTGTTCCGGGGCCCGAGGACACTCGACCTGTCGGAGTCGGAGGTCTCCGGGCAGCTCAGGGTCTCCGCCGGCAGCGCGGCACCCAGGCCAGTGACGCAGTCCCCTCGGGGCGCCACTTCTGGCAGCGGCGCGGGGCTCTCGCCCGCCTCGGCGCTCAGGGCGGGCTGCGGCGGCTGCTCCCTGGGAGGCTGAGCCTCCACAGCCGGCTCACTCTCTGGGCATCCTTCACACGACCGCAGCCCTGGCGTAGGTGCGGAGTCGGGGGCAGGCACCGTCGGACCTTCCCCAACCCCCAAGCCGGTGCCACTGAATTTCAGGGTTTCCAGCTGAGCGGCGGCGGCCTCCACCACCTCCATCGCACCGCACCAACGGCCGAAACTGCCTCACGTTTCTGGGCCTGCGGGTAGGATAAGCTCACAGCTCTTGCCAGAGAAGATAAAACGCCTCCACAGCGAGTGCGACAGCTTCGGAGCCAAACCTCCCGCGTTTACAGGTAACAACACGCGGGCAGGTCTCGAGACACGCCCCCGGCGCCGCTCGGCCAGCGGCACTTCCGGGAGAGCGTGTGACGTAATGCGGCGCGACGGCGCGATGGCGCTGCCATTGGGCGGGAGGGATCCCGAGGACCCGTGAAGGTGGACGTGGGGAGGCCCTAAATCAGCTGTTTTCACAGCATACTGGCCTCAGATCTCACACTCTGAAGTCAAGGCAGGACTCTCCTGTAGGTGGATCTGAGCGAGTTCTACTCGAAACATCCGTTTTGGGACAGAGGAGATGAGAGGGATCAGAATCTTGAGCCAAAAAGTCTTTAAAAAGTTACTTCTAGTACTTTCCTTGAAGTTAAATGAAATTAAGTTGATGGACCTATGAACAGAAAGTGAATTTACGATTCATTAAGAGAGAGGGAGAGGGAACCACAACTATTCTGTTTGCTTTCTCCGAAGCACCGAGAGGGAGAGTGGTGGTGAAATGCTGATGCTTGTGGATGTGGTGACGTTGTATCGTATTTGACACTGCTTCACAGAAATAGTGGGATGCCACTAAAATGTATTAGTTAACCTGGGAAACTTTTAATCTGTATTGTAAAGGCAAGCAAAAACTTCTTAGTATGAGGAAGACATCAAAATTTTCTGGTTTCTTATTAGACCTGCAATTTGATGCATTGGTCCCTCTAATAATAATTTAGGAATCATTGGTTCAGTTTACTATGCATGCATTTGTCTCAAGGACTGTGCTAATATTTTTAATAAATTATTCATTGGGAAGTTATTGTGAGTCATACATAATATTAGATCTTCATAGAAATTCAAGTGTGATATAGTTGTCCCCAAGTATCCAGTGAATGATTGGTTCCAACAACCCACAGATACCAAAATTTTAGATTGCTCAAATCCCTTATATGAAATTGACATAAGGATAGCAGTTGGATAAAACCTACACCATTCCCCCTGTACACTTTAAATCATCTCTAAATCACTTGTAATAACAGAAACAATGTAAGTGCTAGTTAGTAGTTGTTTACTGTTTAGAAAATAATGACAAGGAAAAGTTTACTTTAGATGCAATTTAATATATTTTTAGTCAGTGGTTGTTTGAATCCATAGATTAAGAACCTGTGGATACTGATGGCTAACTGTACATAATACTAATTTTAAGGTGTTCATAATCTAGTTGAAGTTAAAAATAGGTAACTTCACAGAAGACAAGTACCAAAAACTTTGAAATATGGAATAGAAGATACAAATGCAGCAAAGAAGAGAAATTAAGTAGGGCTGGTGTGCTGCATTATGGAAGTCTTCCAAAGTGAAGCAGGAATTTAAATTTGAGATATTACATACTGATAAAATGATTACTAGAGCTTAGAGTTCCTGTCTGTATTCAGAACTCAGTTCTAACTTTTTGTTTTTGGTGTAAATGTGACCTTGAGCAGGTAGCTTAACGTACATAAATCTCAATGTCCTTATCTATGAAATGGAGATCAAAACACTATCTCATTTAGCTCATGGACCATTAAATAAGGTTTTATAGAAGAGAATGGCATGTCATGCACATACTCTGTGAAAAAATACTTGGAAATTGGGGCAGTGTGTGAACAAGAATAAATTAATGTTTTACTGACAATGATCTTACAGAGATAAGCAGTATGAATTTGAAGTGAAAAGAATTTTTAGTTGTGATGACCCTCCATGCAGTCAAAAATGTATTACACTTTTCCAGGAGTTAAGTAATAAAAGCCTGAACCAGGATTTGAGTCAGTGAAATAGAATACAGAAAATTCCAGACATCAAGAGAGAATCAAAATACTCTAAAATTTCTGACCAAGGAAACTATAAAGAAATTGATATTATCAACAAAAATTTTAAAGTTGGAAAGAGACAATGAGTACATGAATTTGAGTTTGAGAAAAAAATGGACAATTAAAAATGCCAACAGACATTTAAAAATAAGACACTGGAGTTCAATAAAAAGGTTAAGTCCAGAAGCATAAGTTTGAGGGATGATTCAAGTACTCATTTATTTATTCAGTAATTATTTACTTAACATTACTATGTGCTACGCACTGCATTATGAACTGTGGATACAGGAAAGTAAATAAGTCACAGTCCTTGCCCATGATGAATTATCAGTTCCGGGCCAGGGATATAACTCAGTGGCACCACACCTGCCTTGCAAGTGCAAGGTCCTGAGTTTGATCCCCGGTACCCTCCCCCGCCAAAAGAATTAGCAGTTCAGTAGACTAGACAAGTTGGAAAACAAGTAACATGTACTATGATAGAGAAATGTGCTATAGTACAGGCATATGATAAAGTAGAGGAGTGTAGAAGTAAGAAAAGTAAAGAAAAAGTATTGGGAAAACTAAAGACGGTGTGGTATACTATTAAGACATTGTGACTACAAAATTAGTAATAGCAATGCTAGGCCTGATGACACACACCTGTAATTCCAGCACATAGGAGGCTAAAACAGGAGGATCCCAGACCAGTGTGGAATACATAATGAGACCCTGTCTCAAAAAAAATAAGTTTAACAATTGAGAGCCATAAGGGCCACTTAGCTGTCTCAGGTCCTACCCTACATGTCAGTTAACTATGTTAGAACCAGTGCCTGGGACTTCTGATCCTGGCCCAGGGGGATTCAGGAGACAATGCACAGATTTAGTTTTTATGAACTACACTCACTATTCGAAAGAAAATCTGGTAACTGACCCAGACTGAATACAAGCATAAGACAGGAGGAAAGATCCCCTAAATCCAAGGCTGGTCTCTGGATGGAGACCCTCCTGCTCAGTCAGTCATCAGACTCCCTGACTGTGTCTGGTCCGTAACAGTGCCTGAGCATCATCTGATGGCTTAGGATTCATCTTTGGCTCAAACAGAACCAAGGATGAAACGGCCCCTGGGAAAGGTAGATAGCTAGGACCACTTGAAATCCCACCCCAAGACTGCAGAAAGCACTACAATGAGTATAACATTTAAACTGGGCCTCTAACTACAGCCATGAACTTGTTAATCTAAGAAAGCAGGAGCATTTAACCAGAAATAATAAAATCATGTAATTTCCTGTTTCGAACATTAATTTGTTGTTGTTGTGCTTGTTTCTTGAGATAGGTTCGCAATATGTACTTCAGGATCCCCAAGTGCTAGGATTACAGGCATGAACCATCCCTTCTGGCTTCAAACCTTAATCTTCGTAATAGCACGTAGAATATATTACAGATTCCCTGCTTTAGTTTTCGGAGTTCTACTTGATCTTTATCTTCCACCTCCTTTATGCCACATGCTCACTAGTCTGGATCTCCCTTCAACTCATTAAGTTCACTCCTTATGTGTGGACTTTTCACTGTCCCTTTTTCTCTTCATATTAGCATATTTTATTATTTATTTTAGTCATGTTTCTAACTCAACTCTAACATTCCATAGAAAGCTTTCCGGATTTCCAGTATATAGGTATCCCCCATAGCAATCACTCCCCAAATTGTTACCATTGTTTTCTTTTCAATAGTGCTTCTGCTCGTATGAAATTACATTTATTTATTTCTCTGTTGTTTCTGGTTTCCCATATAATTTAAGTCTCACACACCCAGTATCGTCTAATTCACAGCACTTTTTTTTCAGTTACTAGAACCACAACAAATCCTATAAATATTTTTTGAATGGAAGAATGAAAGAAAAATAATAATAAAACTTTATCAGACCATCACAGCAAGGAAGATGCATTACAGACAATACCTAAGATGATACCTAAGTTCTTCATCCTGTATAAAATTAATTCATTCAGTTTAAATTAATAGTATCTAAGAAAAACTACTGCTGCAGATTAAAATCTTTTGTTAGATGGAGAAGATCTCTGGGTTTCAGGATAAGAATAGCTGTGGCTATACCTAGTTTTGAAATAGGTCACTCTCGATACTTTTCCTAAGTGCTTGAGTGTTTCAAAATGCCCTGAATTTACCTCCAGTACTTCTGGAGCCTGCATGTCCACTGAATTATTTCTAACAGCTACTAACCATAACCTGAAATTTTCAGCATAATACTAAATTTAACAAAACTCTTTAAAGTAGTGGGCGAGTGTGGTGGCTCACACCTACAATTCCAGTACTGTCCTTAAGAGACTGAGGCAGGAGGATCACCACAAGTTCAAGTCCAGCCAGGGCTACATAATGAGTTCAAAGCCAGCCTGGAATACATAGCAAGACCCTGTCTCAAAAACAAAACAAAATAGGCCCGGGGATTTAGCTCAGTGGCGCCCTACCTGCCTTGCAAGCACAAGGACCTGAGTGATCCCAGGTACCTAAATAAATAAATAAATAAATAAGAGACTGAGTAGTTTACAGGATCACTATTAAAATTAAGAGAGAATTTACTTTGAAATTTATCAACAAAAGGCTAAATCACATTTCAAGGTGAACATTTCAAACAAAGTGTATTTTAAAGTGCAAAAATAGTTTCAGAAGAAAGTTACTTGAAAAATAATTTTTCAAGTTGACCATTCTCCATATATTTTAAAGATTGAGAAATTTTACCAATAATAGAAAAGAAAAAAGCCTACTAACTAGTTCTTAAAGCTATTTCCACTGTTTTATAGTGCCCTGTGACTCCAGACACAGTGGCGGATAAGCACCTTTGCATAGCATGGGAATGTGTTAAAATGCAGAATCTCCAAGGGTACTGCACCACACACCTGTGCTTCAGAATCTGCATTTCAATTAAATTCCCCATGTGGCTTATATTCACATTAATGACTAAGAAACTCAGCCTTAGTGGCCGAGAAAGGGAACAACCCTAGACTAATATAGTACTTGAAAGTCAAAAGAATGAATGTATTTTGTAAAAGAATAGTTGAAATTCTGAACTAGTGAGTCTAAGTTGAACAGACTAAATATCTCATTGTTTGTTGATACCTGCATTGGGATACCCTACAAGGGCCTCAAACTCCCATGTCCAAAACTGATCTCAGCTTGGCATGGTGGCACACAGCTGTAATCCCAACTCTCAGGAGGCTAAGGCAGGAGGATCACTGAGTTCTAGGCCAGGCTGGAACACATAGTTAGATCCTGACTTTGAAAAA